TTAAATTATTTAAACTAAAAAAAAAAAAAAAAAATACTTAATTGTACAAGTCGAAATAACATTTGGAATAAATAGTTAAATAATTTAAGTATTTTAAGTTTAGATGATTAGTTAATATTGAAATCTAACGAGGAAATAAATATTATCATAACGATTTCTGATTTCAAAATATATTGTATGTCTTAAAATAAAAGTAAGGAAAATCAATGGAAATTATATTGAAACAAATATCTTACGATGTATGAAGACACTAAAACTTATGCTGAAAGAATAAAAATTTAAAAATTAAAACAGATATTAATATATATATATATATATATATAGTACTCGTGTATTTAATATTACTTTACTAATACGGGCATCGATATATTATTAAAATGATTAAGTTTAAATTTAGGTTAGTACTGTTATTACTTTTTTTTTATGAGAACTTTGTGTTGAAATTAACTGAATGATATTAAAACTAGTATACTACCTATAACAGAATATTCAGACAAAGTTATTGAAAAGCTCAGGTATGTGTACAAATTATCATACATACAGGGTAGAGAATCACTACTACTCAGGTAATGGAATTATGACGAGCAAAATATGTTATATGCGTGAGTTGTAATAACAATTAGCCAAATTCAAATATCAATTATATTAATGTTATCTATAGATAGCATTCATATGGAGATTAATATGATGAATAAACACTATGGATAGGGAAATTCAATCACTTTCTCGGAAATGAGTCACTCTATTAGAATCCAAATTCATATGAGCACGGTAGCAGTTGAAATGTTCATACTAATTATGAATTAGTAATTAATATTTGTTACATCAGATTTTCAGTTCTAATTAAATTGTGTATTATTTTAATATATATATTTTTTTGTTTTTATTGAATTTCACATATCAATATTATTTTTTAAAAATTCCAATACGTGAAAAATCTTAAATACAATAAAATAAAATAAAATTTGAGTTTTAAGTAGAAGTTTATTAATTTAACCAAAAGTTAAAAATAATCCAAAATTTTAAATTTTTTACAATAATTTGGAGTAGAGCATTATTCTGATGTAACATTTCAAAGATTAATAACTCAGAACAAAAATAACATAATAGGTTTTCATCTATTTCAAACAACATCAATTTAGACATTTATAAGAGTTATAAAAAAAAAGGCTAAATCGTCTGAAAATGATTTAATATTTTACTGAAACAGAAACTGGGATAACAGAAAAAAAAATACATTAACATCACTGAGAGAACGATGCAACAAATACAATAATATTATATGAAATAATTAGATCACTAAACGTACCAAATAATAAAAAAATAAATATTCTGATATAATACTAAATTTTGGTATTATAATAATAACATACTATTTTGTATGAAACTTGCTGAATTTACAAAAAAACAATATTTAAACTTTCTGAAATTTTAAAATACGAAAGGTAAGAATATCTAATAACAATGATATTGAATATATTTATGAGAGATTAGTCAATACTAATTATTTTAATTTTTAATTTATTTTAATAGTCACAAATGTATCAGTATTTTTTTTTGGATTATGATTAGTTTTTTTAATTAAATGGAATGGATATCCTCATATCTAAAAACTCACACAATTCACAAGTTTCTTACTAATAATAACAGTATAATAGTATTATTTTGGATAGATAAAGAAAATTATAAAATTACCATAATAGTATTTTAAACGATTTATTTAATTGCGATATAATTTCTCCTGGATTATTCCCAATAATTTGATATAATCTGAATAATAAACACTGTTTAAGGAAAAAACAAAAAAGTTCTGCATTGTTTTTACCTCGTGTTTTTTACCAATTTAAATTTTAGTTTTATTAATTTATTTTTTATTACAAACATTTGACTAATAATTATTATTTATTATTATTTTAGTGATCATTTATTATAACTACAATTTGCTATATTACCAACATTGTATTAATTTAAGGTCTTACTCGCTTAAAATAATAACACTATTAAAAAAAAAAAAAAACTGAACATAGTATAACATACATAAATAGGTAATAGGTATATTACTTTTTTAATTTTTGAGTAAATTTATATTTTTAAGAAGGTACAGAAAACATTTATGGTTCGTTATAATTTGTAATTATTAAATGTTGTGTAATTTGTGTTATTAGCTAGTATCGATGTTTTACTATTCGATTATTAATGATTTATCAATGTATTAATTTTTTCGTTTGGACATATATTATTTGATCCAATCTGAAAAAAAAAGTTGGTATCAAGTGTCAAACATATTACAACTTTTACAAGTCTAAGTGTCAATTATAACCTCGAGAAAATGTAATAAAACCGATATTATGTGTCAGATGGGTTAACAAAGTATATAATATACGATTCCAATAATTGTACAGTACAAATTTTATTCAAATTCAATTTTAAATCGACGTTATCACAATAAACAGCGTGTTCACGCGACATAATCACTCGACATTAGTAATAAAACGTTATCCATAACCAATTCTTTTTAAAAAAAAAAAAAGACAAATATAAAAAACAAATTCACTTTTAGCATTCGTTACAATTTTATATAAAATGGTTACTACAATGATAATAACATTATGATGACGTATTATCTAGTTCAAACTATTTAAAATGCAATGCTTAATAACTATAGCAAAACACTAAATATACATAACTACGCTTAAGTCATTACATCATTAAGAAGCTGGCGAGTTAAGTGCTTGCCAAAAGTTATTGTCATTTGACTAAATAATAATGTAATACATACATTTAAGGACATGATACATAGGAGCCTATATAAACAGACTAACAAATAGTTTTTAATTTGAATTTAAATTGCTAAGATCAGTCTAGAATAAACCGTGTCTAAAAAATTACATTACATTGGTTTGAAAATACAATTATTAATATACTCTTTTACTTTTATCTATTCAAGGACGATTTAGATTTTTTTATTCAATTTCTGTGTATAAATATATATCCATAATTATTGTACTTCCTGAATCTGTAAAAAGTTAATATTTAAATATTGTTTGTCTTAACTTCATTCACTTCTAAAAAAATTAAATTGTTATAATATCATAATCGTGATAAAAAAAAAAAAAATATATTGCTATAAAATATTATCTACACAAAAAATATATTTTGCTAAATAAAATCGCACATAGGTTTTTACATAAGACGTATGTAAGCAATGATAACAAAATAAATAATTTAAATTACACATGAGGAACGAATTTCAAAATTTAGTTTTTTAATGTTCTTTTTAACAAATAGGTACGATGAAAAGGCTTTATCTTAATAGTTATTGATAAAATCATAATACTATGTAAGTATATGGATATAACGAAGACCTCTCGATACTTTCCTTCATTTATTATTTATATATGAAAAAATGAATAGGTATGATTTAATTAAATTAACTAAAAATATCGTGATGATATACTTATTAAACATAATTAATAGTTCCATTCAAAAATATCGTTTTATATTATGGATTTAAAATTTTTAATTTAAATACAAATATTAATTTAAAAAGTACAACTAATAAAAGTATTAGTTTCTTGATACCTAATTATATTTTTTATTTGTTGAACAAAGTTATCGAATACATGATAACATGAATAATAGATATAATAAAATAATAGATTATACCTAAATTGTTTTTTTCTTTTCATTGATAAGTTCACTTAGTTAATTTATAAATATATTCATTGTGTTTTTTAAACATTGAGTTCTAACTTTTTTTCACATAATATTAATATTTTGATTTATGATTGATCTGTAATATATCGTATGAATTATTGGAACGTATGGAAGTAATGTAATATTTAAAATTGTATAGTTTTACAATAATTAAGCACAAAGTACATACTAAAAGTATAAAGCAATTTTGGTTGTGAAATATTGAAATGTACTATATAGAAAAAATGGTTAGATGTTTTGTTTTCTGTTTTAATTTCAATCAGTTTTTATACTGAACTGTTTGCTTGATAATATAGGTGTATCGATCTCGTTAATTTAATTTGAAAAAAATTCTTGATAAACTATTTTAAACTAACAATATAATTCAATATCATCACACAGAATTATTAGGCATAATATGAGAACTAAGCTGTGGTAGAAAAAACAAATTATGATAAATAATGAACGAATAACGTAAAAATGCACAATAACAAATATCATAATATATGATCTACTAAATCACATTTACATACTATTAAAGTTTTATGTAAAATAATACAAAATGCGTATATGTGACGTTTGTAGTTTTTTTCACAATTCATATAATACGTTTATGTGTCAAGTTTTAGTAGTGTTATTCTTATTAAGTAGTAAAATAAAGTATATTGTACAATATAATATTACCATTAAAGTTATGAAAAATTGTATTGAAGTAACTAATCATAAACAAAAATATTTTTTTACAAATAACAGTAATAAATTAGTTAGATCACAGATTCAGCAAATGACACATAATAGTACTATATCATTATTATGTAATTAAATTATTTTATAAAATAATTTGACGATATTACTTATAATAATATCGTCTTTTATAATAGGATAAAATCGAAACCAAGCAAATTATTAGAAATAATAATACAATGTATATATGTTAATATGACGTCAATGCATTTCTATAATATTATCATGGTATAGATACCTAATAGATATCCGATATCAATTAATTATAAAAATTGAATTTAAGGGACAAAAATATGTAGTTTAGATAACTAATCGCTACTTTATCCATGTATAAATAAAAAAATAATTATATACAATCAAAAAAGTCCGATAACGTTAACTGTTTTTCGTTCGTTTTACATTCATTTAAAATATGTTCTATTTTTGATTACAAAAAAGATCACCACAAACATCTTAGTAATGCCGACGACGACAGAAATTTATACTGTTGTTATTTTGCAATTATTAATTTAAATAAAAGAATATAATAGAAAACAAATAAATAAAAATAAAAAAAAAAAAAATGAACACATATTCAACAATAATTATAAAAAAATAATAATAATATAACATATGGATATAAAATATTATTACGAGCGGTCGTTTTACACGGACGCCTCATCGATAACCGTGATCATCCTGCTGTTGTGTCCGGCAACCAACCGCCACTTGCCGCCCCTGGGCGTCTCTTCTTCCGCCTGTTTGGCTAAAGACCACCTGCGGCCTTTCCGGTCCATGATGACCGGCATTTCGGCGATCAAATTGTTCTCGAACTCACTCAGCATCAAGTAGTTTTCCACCTTGTTGCACGACGTGATGCAATCGCCAATATAGTCGAGGTCGTCGAGTAAGTTGTCGGGCAGATCCATGTCGGCGATGCCCTCTTCAGAGATACACGTCAGCTCGGGCTTGTCGTTGGGTCCACCGCCACCAACCACACCACCACTACCGCCACTGCCGCCACTGCCACTTCCGCCCATCATCAACCCCAAACCACTACCGCCGCCGCTTCCACTACCGATGAGCCCGACGCCCTGCATGTTTAAGGGTGGTTCCATTACCACTACTTCCTCGGGTTCGACAGTGAACGACAGCCTCCGACGCTGCGGACATGAGTCAGACACGCACAGCTTTTTCGTACCTGACTCGTTGTGCTTATGTCGGGCCACGTTCCGCCGATGTAGGTCAATGAAGAACATAGTCAGGCTGCCGAGTAACACGCACGCTGAGCTGAAGTAATAACCCGTCTTGGCACCGTAGCCAATGTTGATGTAACCTGAAATTTGATAAAAACGATTAAATAATAATAATTTATTATGAAAACACAGAAGTTGATTGTTTTGTTTTCTTTTAACCAGAAAAAAGTCTGTTATTACTAGGTTTTGTTAGTTTCACTCTTTTTCATTTTTGAACGTAAACAACACTACAGACGCACTACTTATAACACAGGTACAAGTTAATAATACACCCAAAGAATAAAATAATGGGGGAGTTTGGAAGAAAAGAAATCAATTCATTCACAGGTGAATGAAATTTATCTATCGCCATGATCCGAGCACACCCCTCCTCGCTATAACTCCAGTAACGCCAAAATCATACATTTTTTTACCATCACCGCATAGCATCTCATATAATTTGTGCTATCTTATAATTTTATTATTTATAATTTTTGTACCAATTTTTATTTTTATTTTTAACCGCGTATATAATGTAAAACAATGTGATTTTAAACTATAAAATGTAATATATATTTTTTTTAAATGCAACAACAAAAAATTAATGGTGAAGACTACTATATTATCTTATCTAAAGAAAAGCGATTACCTAATATTTCCTTTTCAGCATATAATATAATGGGGAATGGTAAACTTTTACAAATTTAATGTTATTTCCTACATATACATAGTGTTAACTCCTACAAAAGATGATAAAAAAGGATACCGCTTGTACCACTGAAAAAATATATCAAACTTGCAATATATTAATACATAATATTATACAAAAGTATTAACTTAAAAGTTAAAAAGAAAATTGTTTGAATAATATAAAAATTCAATAAAACAATAGTCATAACTCATAATAATTTTACGTTTATTTTTATGGAATACTTTGGAGATAAACTCTTAACGTAAAATTTCTCTGTGTATATATGTATTTAATTTTTTGCAGAAGTATAAATTCATATTTTTAAATGGTTTTTGTTTGTCCGTATTGAGTCGATACCATACTAATTACTATCGCTAATTTATTAACATTTTGTACTGCAAATGCCGATATGAACTTACAATATAGTATATAATATGGATATAATAACAGTCTTTAAGAATCATTATACACCGTATAAACACGCTCTTTTAAAGTGTTAGTATTTTATTTATTAATATTTTGAGCTTTTAAACTCCAAAAATTGTGAATTCAAATTATATCATTCTATTTTTTTTCAGATAAAAATTTAAAAAGATTATTGATTCAGGAGTTTACATTTGGCCTATACTTAATATACAAATTCATCAGTCATCAAATATATTAGTTCCTTCACGCATTCAAGAAATTTTTCAATAGTCGCCTTATATGTATACTCCAACGCCTAATTTATGTTTGACTAATCGCCGTATTTTATCAATTTATTTTTTTGGAGGGCGTTTAAATAATAAAATTGTCTAGTGTTATGACATAGTTCGAGTTCATATTAGATATTAAGACGATACCGGCAATAACCAAAAAGTAAACTGAAAATTAAATGTGTATATATGAACTAATTTAATAGACAGAGTAAAGATTATAATAATTTTAATTCATTATTTTAAAAACAATTATTATATATTTTTATTTTTATTTACATATTTATTTTGTTATAATAATACCTAATTTAAATAGGAAGTATTCATTATTCTTATTTTTTAATATCGGAGTAATACTGGGTACAATTATCACTGTACGAGATAAGTAAGCAGTATGAGTTTACACAGATTTAGTGTTCAATTTTTGAAAAGAGTTATTGGAACAAAAAAAGGGTTTATGGAATATCTATGTGAATATCGCAGATAGGTACAAGGTCGTCAGGATAAAAATTACACACCATAATAGTCTCATTAATTACGTGACTTGTGTAATACGTTCCGAGGTTTTTCTTTTTTAAATAAAAAGTGTAACCTAATACTTTTTTTTGTACCTCTTAATACAATTTTCTAAATAAAAAAAGAGGTTATTCTTTATTAAATAAAAAGTGTAACCTAATATGCTTTTTTTGTATCTCATAATACAATTTTCTAAATAAAATTAAAAAGTTTTGTAGAACACTGGTTTGGAATTCAACTTATTTTTGAAAAAAAAATCGAATATGAGCGTGAAATTTAATCGGTAAATGATATTTAACATTTAATGTCTATTTGATCACAAACTACACATCTACTAATATTGAATAATCAAAGCATTTAATTTTTTTTTTTTGTGTATATCTTTTTTAAGATTTTTAATGAAATATCTTGATTTTTAATCACTTAAAAATATTTAATCGTGTTAGTTGTGCTGAAATGATTGTGTTTAAACTTATAATCTTAGAAATAGTGAGGGATCCAGTCCTAGATAATGGGAGGAGGAGTGAATTTTGAAAATAACTTATAAACGTGTAAATTTTACTATAAAATCGAAAAATCAAAAAAAAAGGTTATCATCCCCCCTCTCCGAATTAAAATCTTACACCAATAACTTAAAATTTGTAATGAATTTTTTTTAATGAGTATTTTTCCTAAATAAAACACAGCTTATGGGGGGGGGATCTCTGCTCCCCCTAAATTCACCACTGCTTAGAAGACATTTAATTGTTCATGATGGTATTAAATTTGTATGTACCATATGTTATGCCAAGTTATCAAGAAATAATTATCTTGTTTAATTCTATGTTAATTGCAAAAAAAAAAATCTCACTAAATCATTCAATACACTCACACTAAAGTTACACCAAACATATTTCTTCAAAATATGCCAAATTTTATATTAACAGATCAAATAATTGCAAATAATAATATTTAACATTATCATTTAATTATGTGGGTCGATAATGATTTCAGTATGATTTATTTTAGCGTTGAAATGACTGAGAGTGTAGATTTATATGATAAATGGAGTGAGTCTTTTAGATATTTATACATTAGTTCTAACTTAAATAGTTAAATGAAAATGTTTAAAATGATATACCTAACTACATATAGAGTAAAAAAGACTTGTTTGATATTGGTTAGAAATCATAAAGGATTTATGAATTTAGGCTCATGTTTAAATAAACCATAAAATGGTATAAATATAATATTTTTTATAACCACACATTTTAAAACTTAAAAAAACTAAAATTACTAGATATTTTAAGATTTGAATCTCTGCCAATTACTAAATTAACTATAAAAGTCAAAGACACACAGTCCAAGCTACAGGTAGATGAGTGAATTTCTTTTATCTTAGAAGCACCATTTTATTCTACTTACGCAGACGTTATATATTATGTATAAGTTTATCCGCACCAAATGTTCGAAATAAAATTACCATATTATCGTGGAATTATACGTTTTGTGTAATGCGTACCCGAATCGATGCGTTCAACCCGAACTCAGCTGTGGTGCGTTATTGCGATACTACGATGGCTAACATTACACGTGATTTTATATACATATATATATATATATACATTTTAACTCGTATATATGTGAATTTTGCCGTATATAAATGCCGTACGGAATATATTATTATAACAAATGCTAGCAAGTGCAGTAATATGCGGGGTAATGCCACGAACGGTGTACGAGAACTAAATTTACGCGAGTATTATACCAATAACCCAATGATATTATATCATATATAACACGCATCTATGTATATACGTATAGGACGTATTTACTACGTCATTAGATCGCGAATAGATACCTTTTTATTTTTCAAAATACATGACTTCCTCCAGTCGTTAAATTTTATGACGCGCGGTCAAATATTATAATAAACGGCATCAGCTGTGCTCGTATAATAATAATAATAATAATAACAACAACAACAATGTTCGACGTGAAAGTTTTATGATTTATATTACTTCTGACGGACATGTGCACTTTTATGCGTCGTCTTTTATTATCGATTTCCAAAACCGGAATAAAAATTAAGAATCACTTAGACCTTAGATTCCGGGACGTATTCATAATCGTTATTAAATCGTATTATAAATCCTCTGCTCTATAGGGGTATCTCTATAATTATATCGTGTTCAAAGATCGAAATCAAAAATACTACTCACTCGTCACTACTCTCGATTGTTTTCATTTCATTCATGTTTAATATTGATCTATGTTGTATAATATAATAATTTTATGAAGGATTAAAATAATATGTAAACATGACTTACCGGAAATAGGTACTCCAAGAGCAATAGGAATGGCCTGCGAGCACTGGACGAAACCCCAGGTTCGGGCAAAGTTCCGTGCCCTGACTCGCTCGTACGTGTACATCTTGAGTGAGTAATGGTACCCACCGCAGAACATTCCATACACCCAGGCGAACATGACATACCCCTGTCGGTCCCCACGGACCGTAGTTAACGCCAGTATAGACACGCCACACATGAATACAGACGCCTGACACAAGTACTGTCTGGCGATTCGACACTCCACTGAGTTCCGAACGACGATCAACCCGAACGCCACGCAACCCACCGTCCACGCAAGTCCCATGTGCACTTGCAGCGTCAGTGCTGAATCTCCAAGTCCGTCTTCTTCAGCTTGGTGAGCCTGAAAAATCGATCGAAATTAATAGTTTCCAATCATTCATTTTTGGTAAAAGGTTTATGTTTGGGTCAGTGTTCCAACAATAGTCGTATTTCGTCAGCTGAAGACGTGTTGTTTTTAAGACCGATGAAATGAAATAGAAATTATTTTAAACCAACACTAAATTAAGAATATTATAACTGACCTGCACAAACACATACACACTTATTATTTACGCAATATATTTTTTATGTATGCACGCCAAGTTTATGGAAGGTTGATCCGAGAAACTATCAGTCCTTGTGTTTTGGTCGAGGAGGGGATGCTGCAGACATGCTACTACCATACAGGCGCAGTAATAATAGTACTTAATATTATGAACTATATATCGTATGATTAAAAGTACTAGTAACGTAGAAACGTATTAAACGACGGGACACATACGACTATACATAATAATATATTTTCCGGAGTCCATTAAAACCGAAACGATCGCAAAATACTTTACGAGATTTATATCATGTTTATTCTTTATATACATGTATATTATACTAGGATATGCACACGACTCCACACTCGGTCGAGTGCTTTACTACTATGCTTCGGTCGTTTATATTGCTCCACTACTACAACTAGGGCATAATATTATATACTACTACTGTACACACAAATACACACTCATTACAGTATAGTACTCTATGTGGTCTCTGGTTAATGTTTTTCACCGCAGGAATTCATTGGTCTCGTTTAATATTTTCTCAAAATAATAAAATTGATGTTAAGTCAATCTCGTATTCATCGTCATCGTATCTGCAATCAATGGTACACCTCTGAGATAGTATTAATAAATGTCCTTTCCTATCCCATCAATGTTATAGGTTACAGCAGGAAAGAGAGGCAGCAGTAAATTATTTTAACGATATTGACTGTAACTTGTATACATTTTCACATTTATATATCATATATAATAATGTAATGTGTGTGTAGATGAACTCATTGCACTCCGGGTATTACGCAATCAAAAATTATTTTATGCGTTCAAAATCCACAGTCGTAAACCGAACAAATAGCTTTAGCGTTATAAAAGCCCATAAAACAACTGCACGATTAATCCTTTTTTTTATATTGAACTGACGAACGAGTGCGCATAAATCGAGTACAGTTGTACGGCGGTGACACGATGAAAAACTTTACTTTTATCTTGTTTTTATCACTTAATTGCGCCTAAACATAAATCTTCTATTATTTTAAAGCGTACGTCTCACTGCTGTAATTTATTTCAGTTCATTTTATAGTACTTGACAGTCTTTTGAACTACTTTAGTATATTATTTTATATAATTTGACATGTCAAATAGTACCTTCTCGTGGTTTGGAATTCGTTACTTTATTTAAATTTTACTTAATTGAACATTTCGTCAATTTTATCACCGTCTATACCCTTTATTTTACATATTTTATACCCTATTTTAACTAAATATCACTACGCTCACGGCTATAACATTTAATACTACGTTTAATATAATTATGACATACAATCAAGTTTTTACGTTTATCTATTTTAATTTTCAACGTTATTTTTTGTTCGTAATTGAACACATGTTTTACAGTACTATTTCAAAACCGATCTTTAATAATTATTAAATTTGTTACAGTATCATATTTATATCATGTAAGTGTAATTGAATAATATGTGATTTTTTTAATATTTCATTGAATTAATAATCATCATTAGCATAAAAAAGTGCTAAAAAATTAATGAAAATGCACTTATGCTTATACAATTGTGGTACCTATAGATTTTGCTACGAGACAAAATTAAATGCGACAATGACTAGAATGTTATGTATTCAGTTTGGACGTTTTGATCACATGCGTGTCATGTGAAAAAAATACATAATACTTGAATAAACAAGTGAAGAGACAAAATACATAAGAGAAACTCGACTACCGTATAGCTTTACAGAATGCATACATGAAATTGATAACTACCGTCACAGTTGATTTGTCGTTATTTAATGTTTTGTAAGTAGTGCCATAGTGTGGTATGTGTATTAGTTCCAAAAATAAAACTCCAAAATGTAACTAATATGAAATATAATGACAATCGAAAAGCGTAACGTTGAGAACTTAAATTTTATTCCGATCACATTTATTGTGTTTGATAAAAGTTTAACAACTCCGGAAATATATTGATATCTTCTTTTCTCTTGTAGCATAATGCTACCACAGTTGTCTTATTACGTACAATTTACTAGCCACGTAAAGGCGATAACGTCAGTTATACATATATACAATGATATGGTATACCACGATATCTAACCATATACAAGGTTTCTAACAGTGGCTATTTTACAAACCACATTCAGAAGTTATAGCGATTACATATAAGATATAATAAAAAGATGAGTATAGTTTACTAATAAGTTTTAAATTAGATACCTACTGATAATTCAAACACAAAATTTAATTTTTAATATCTTTGCGTATGCATTTTAAGGATTTTGATGTTTGTAATATAATGGTCATGATTATGCACATAATATGTTTTTATAAATATTATAAACCCCGAACTAATATCTGAGTATACGGTTTACTTAACAAAATTTTCATTGAATACACATGTATGGTAATAATTAACCAATAATATGATAATCCAACTACGAAACTAACCAAGTAGAATATCGGAGTGTTAATTCCAAACGCACTAATACCGGTGGACACGAGTAGGATTCGAACGGTCTTGCTGCGGAGCGTGGTGAAATCAAGAAACGGCGGCCGGTCATCGTGTCGGTTTTTGTCCTTAATTTTCCGTTTTTGATTCTTCAGGTGCAAGATAGCCCGTCTCTGTGGGTGATACAGCGAAGCTGATCTGTAGCAAGTGCCCAACAAGAACGTAGTAAACACCGTGGCAGTGACTAGCTGGAGTCCAAGTCGCCAACCGATAGCGCTGTAATACAATCATATACACTGCGATTATTATAATATTACGGAATGGATAATCACAAAAATGCAAAATACGTTATATTATGTCGCTATAGTATTCATATAATAATACGGTTAATGCCGGGAAAAATTCTTACAAAGAAAAAATGGATTTTAATTTTTCAACTTTAATTTTCGATAGTTCTGTTGCTGATTTTCCTTGTTTTAATATTTTCATCATATGAATTTTACAACTATTTTTAGATAAAATATCTATTTATAATTTTTTTTTTTACCTTCTTTTAAAAAAATAGACGGAAAACTCAAACGCTTTCGAAATGAGTTACAATCCTGCGTACTGAATATAAAATTATATATAGTAAAATTTAATATTTTTGTTAAAATTTATAATTTTAGTAAAAATTTACAAGTATGCATAAGGATTACACTGATATTATAATATTATTATAAAAATTATAAATAAAGAATTCTCAATATTGTTCAAATTTCGTAATTTTGAATAAATAATAAATCTACATTAATCATAATTTATTATCGTTTAATTTTCCTACACCGATTTTATTCATACAATGTTACATGACTTGCGATTTTTATAAATTATTTTCTTTAACATTCTGACATATTATTTCTAATTAATAAAATTATAAACAATGGTAATTTTTTATTATGTTTAATATAGTTGTATTGTTTGAATTAAAAATATAAAAAAAAACATAGGACATCATTAGTTTTATCAGTTTTTAATTTATACTTAAATATAACTTAAACGCTTATTTTATGTAATTAGTAGTTATGTTTTTCAGAGAGGTTTTTTACGTGACACTTCATATTGGAAAATTAACAACTACATAAAGGAATTGAATATAAATTGATTATAAATATATAAGATTTTTATATAAAAAAATCATTTACAAAGTTTTGGAACATTAATGATAATATTTTTGTGTAAATCAACATTTGATCAGTTAAGTTTTCTAATGTAATCATTTTTGCTATACAGTAAAACAAATAATTTTATAAACATTTTACAAACCAAGCTGAATAAAAACATATTAGAAAAAAGGCGAATATCCAGTGCAGTTTAAACAGGCACTTTTAACATTGAAAGCTGAGTTATTGATTTTACAATGATATATGCTTACATGATTTTTTTTTTTTTATTTGAATAGCGTGTAAAAATATGGAGAGGAGATCATGGAAAATCGCAAAATAACAGTAAAATAACTTATAAGCTAGTGTGGTTTTACATAAATCTTGACCATTTTTGGCTTGGCTCCGCTCAGAATCGTTTTTCGTGATTTATCACGGTTTTCAAGTGTAAATAAAACACCAAACTCCCGTATCAGCACTTCTTAAATAATATTGTTTGCTGTTATCTTCGTATAGGAATATTATTAATACATCATATTCAACGAAAATATCAAACTAAAAGGTTTTGAGTTTGAACAAATTCTTATAATTCTATGATAGTTGAGTAGAGAACTTACTCTCATCGTTAAGCTTTGATGAGTTAGAAATGTATATTTAATGATATTAAAATTAATGATTGTACATCTTTTACACTTAACTTCTGGGATATATTTTTTTTAAATGTATAAATAATCTTAATAAAAGTAAAAAAAAAAATATTTCTATGATTGAACGTCAACGATTTTTTTGTCGTTAATGTATTATTAAAACTTTTTTGTAGCGAATGAAATTTAAATTTTTAACAAATGTAGTATTTGCTATTCTTTCATATTTAGTAGGAATGATGATATACTTCTGCTAAGTTTTATTGCATTTAGTAAGATTTTTCTATGAATTATGTATCATTAATTATAGATATAAACTTCGATGATGTTTGTAGTACTGTGATATGTTATATAACTATTATGATCATAAATGTTTAAAACACATAAAATCGTAATATATTTTAATAGCTTAAAACAAATATTGAATGTTTTACAGTAGACATTTTACGATTTAAAATTAATTTCTAAAAAATATACAGTTTCATCATGGAAAAATGTCCATACATTTTCTTAAAATTTATTTTCTGATCAGCATTATATCATAATCAAACTCCATATTATCATTACGTTAAAAATAAATAACAATAGTTTTATAAAAAAAAAATCTACTAACAACATTTAATTAACAAACTTGTCTTTTATGTATTTTTATATAAAAAATTGCTAAATAATGGTCACCACGTATGGCAATTATTTATGTCTCCCAGTGCCCATTATTTATAAATTAGCGGTCTTGTATGCCTCTGTCAAATTCGTGTATACACTATCGTTATTGGAATGTGGCAGGTACTAATATCATACCACAAAAATTATCACATACCTTATGGCTCCTTTGATGAAGCTTGACATGACAGCTATGCCCATCCCGCTGCCGGACACGATGAATATCTCGACGAACTCGCGTTTTCGCTTAAAATATTGCGCCACCATCAGCGTAGAACAATCCCTGGTCATGCCTACTCCGATTCCTGAAACAGACGTTTAGACAAGTTTTTTAAAATATTGTATTTTAACCACTGGATGGATTATAGGTAATCAAAATGTATGTGATATAAGCAAGACGTTGTAGTTTAATACATGATTAAAATTTGTAATTATTTACACAGTATTTCAATTTAATATTTATTTTTTTTTAAATAAGTTTGATGGTAAACAATTAATCCCGATAGCAGATAACATTTTTAACCTTTAAGTTGTTTTAAAATTATTTATTTGGATAATTTATTTTAATTATTATTAATTAATAATTTTTTATTGTTGATCTTCGTCTTTCATAATATTATTATATTGCATATCTAACATTTTATCGTTTCAAGTTGATTTGTATATATGCACAGGACGATTCATATCTTATCATATTTTGTTAAATACTTTTATTGTTTTTAGTCAAAATAAAACAAAGTTTTCAAACATTAATATTTTCTTTAGTTATAATTTTTAAGCTATTTACTTTCGTGTATGACAACCAAAATATTTAATTTCATATTTTGAAGTAAAATATTTTTCAGAACATTTTGATACATACAATTTTAAATTAGGACAAGTAGTTTATGAGTTGTAAGTATTTAAAGTTTAGGAGAAGTATGTGGATAATCCGAAAAATTTTGGTCTACTACTTCGCTTACCAAAACTTTAAAAACTCATAACTCATAACTCATGAACTACTTGTCAGGATTTCGATTTTAATACATCTAAAAACTTGTGTATCGACAAATATTTTGCTTTAGAACATAAAATCAAAAATGTATGTTGTCATTCGAAAAAGTTAAAAATATATACATATAACGACAAAAATCATTAAAAAAATATTGTTTTACTTGACTGGAAGCTATGCAATGATTTTTTTTTTTTAACATTTATATATTTTGAAATAATAAGTGTTGTTAGATAAAACAATTACTCATAAATATGTAATAGATGAACGAACACAGTAAAAAAAAATTTTGTTTTTTCACTGTTGAGTTAAATGCATTTATTACTCTGTTAAAACGCAGCACCAAAAATACAAACGGCGAGAAAACCTATAATAAGCGAGTGAAAGGAGAAATATATAATAAATAAATAAATAATAGATTGACAGCATGTAAAAAAGACCACGTACGTCATATGCACAGACTTACTCAGCCGTACTTTACGGCGCTGCCGAAACGTGTTCCCGATGAGCTTCGTCGGTTTTTGAACGTCTGTTATTATTTACTACGTGCGTAAGTCGTCCCGTGGCACATTAAAATTTCCCGTTTGTGCCTACATCGGCTTAATAACGATGTCTCCTAAAAGGATTTTCGGTCTTTCACATCCACGGCACGTGCGTATATCATTATATCGTATTAGACACCGTCACTGCAGACGATTCGTACGCAGTTATTTATAGGTGACGATAAAACGAACACATGTAAGAATAAAATTAATGATATTGCGTAAAAGCTAAAAACTGCAGAGAACGAGAATATTGACAATATTTCTGACTAGAACTTTACGAATAATATCATTGTTTTTCACAAATGCGCTACAATACAAAGAGAACAAAGAGTTATTTCAAATTCTTAACTTAAATTTCTTCCAAGGAAAACAGTTTTTCTTACTCGGGTACTAAAATAACGTTACATTAGTACCTACGTACAAATAATTTACTTTGAAGTTATGAAATTATTTTAGAGGTAGATAATCAACTCGTAAACATTCACAACCATAGATTTGAAGTTCTTAACTTAAATCTATGGTGACGAATATCTATCTACCAATAACTAAAATTACGGTATCAATTTTAAATTTTCTTAATCTTTCTTTTGTAGTACCATACTAGAGTAATGCATTTATTGATCACTTTGATTCTGTAAATATTTACAAGCAAAATTTTATGGGACGCATTTGTATAGGAAAAGTCATTCGTAAAATCATCATCGTTAAATAATTTTTATTATATATTAATTTATGATGCATGTGATATATTTGGTGCAAAATAAACAAAAAAAAAAAAAATTTTTTTTTGATCGATACATCAAAAACATTGGAAACTATAATAAAACACAAAAAGATGTCATTCAACATACATAATAGCACGCTGGTAATATAAGTATATCTTTTTTTTACCACTTTAAAAGGTACACAGAAATATATAAAGGAGGATATAATATTATTATTAAAAATAAAAATGAACGTTTTATGTAATTGGACACTTAAAAAAAAAATAATCATAAAATGGATACACAACTCTACGCTGTTATAATATAGTATACTCGTACATCGTGAAACCATTAAATTTATTTAAATTTACGAACGTTTTAAAACACGGGGATCCATAAAAATGGAGGCAAAAAAACCTACGTATCATCCCCTTTGCGTGGTTATGCAAGCCCAACGTAACCGTAAACAAAATATTACGACGTCCATGATGTAAAATATAAATCAGCCTCTCCGTACGAGATTATTATAAAACGACGCTATCGTAAAAATTTCGAGGGTCCACTGCAAACATATGACATTGTTGAATTGTTTCAGAACTTTATAAAAGGGTGTTGATAAATATTAACCACCGGTAGTACCATTTTTGTGTAAATTCAACTTTTATTTTCACTTTTAAGGACATTATGTTCTTTAAAGTCCAATAATAATTAAAAAAAAAAAAAAAAAAACATTTAGCTATTTATATACCCAAAACACGCATAAAAATAAATATGAAAATTATTTTAGAACTGAAGTACTAAATGGTTGGTTGAGTAGCACAAATCATGAATCTGATAAATTGATGGAGATAAAATAATATTATTTATTTATTAAAATAAAATTATTATTAATACCTAGTCAAAAACTTCAAAATTAAATTAAAAGAAATAATACATCAATATGTTAATTATATACATTAAAGTAATCCATTTAAGTGTTTAAGTTTCATTAATTTAAATCTTGTTATTTTTTTACAATGACACCCCTAACTTAAATTTAAATAATTTAGACGGAAGAGTATTATAAATAACATTAAAACTAACAAAAATATATTGGTGTTACACATAACGATGCGACATACTACACACACATTATTGAGAACAACGAATTCGAATATATATATTGCATTTTAAACAAATTAGTTAATTTATTAGTAATAACTAATAAGTACTTAAAGTAGAGTGCTATATTTTTGAGTATTATCCCCTAAAACTAAAATACACAAATTTAAATATTGTACTTTAAGTAATTATTACTAATCAATAACTATTTTAAAATTTTATTTTTGTTTTTTAAAGTACTCCAAAATATATTTAATAATAAATAGAGCGTAGACACTTAAATTTATCAACTTTTACAATATAATATTATACGGTATACTTGATGTGCTGTTTGAATTTAAATGAAGCAATAGATATGATCAACTATAGACTGTAGCTATGTGCTTGTTAACTACTATTAATTTAAATATTAATATTCATATTAATTGAAAATTGTACGCAATTACCAATATGGCAGTATGCAATTTACGTTATTAAACTTTTTTTATGATTTATTAAATATTTTTATAATTATAGTCTTTAAGTAAAAATTCTATAGCGCGTACTATATAGGTACAGAGTGCATTATAATGATGATTTAAACATATTAATTTGGCATAGCTACATTGAATTTAATTAATATAATACTTAATCATAAATACCAATGTACTGTGAACTGTTTTCGTACTAATACCGAGAAACTCATCAGAATATTATATACAGTGTTAAAAATTAAGAAATGCAAAGAGTTACCGGATCGATAACTTATTATCATACTTCATACGACTATCCAGTTCATACGTGTACGTTGTTTTTGATATTATTAAATATTATAATTGAATCGTTTTCTAAATTACATACTAAGAATCAAAACCGACGTTAGTAATTCTTTTTTTTATACAACTAATATGCTATAAGTATATTTTTTATCACATTTAAAATCTATATAAAACAAATTTAACATACGTTATCAATATTCTTAATTAGCTTTCTCTATAGTTTTAAATTTGTATTAAAATTAAACTGTTAAACTATAACGTAAATCTAAACAACATTTTTAAATTTACTAAACACACAAATGTAAATCAAATACATCTATATTGGTACAGGAAACATGAGTAATTAAAATTGAGTGTAATGCCAAACTATATATATTGAAAATGATGTAAATACCTATCTTTATTATATACATCTATACATATGCATTTTATTTTCTAGTAATTAAACTTAGATAATGTTTGGATAATGATGTAGGTATAGTATATTACTTTTACTTGATAACAGAATAATTGACTTGTATACATTATGTTGTAGAGAACACAAAACTTTTGTTGGCTGGATATAGCATGAGATCAAAAATTTTACCATTGAACTATACCATGCTTCGTAACAGTAGTCACAACCATGGTTGGCAAAAGTTCAAACTTAAACTTTTTTCGTCGTTAGAGAAGTTTTTGATAAGTCAATTAAAACAGAATTTATATGCATGGTATTATTATATTTTTCACCAGAGTTCATAAACACTTTACCACTCTTCAGTACTTTTCACAGGAATTTAAATGGCTAAACGTAATAATTCTGGTTTAATTTCACTAGGTATATTATTATGCATTTTTACGTTGTTATTGAAAAAAAAAAAAGAGAGAAAAGAAAGGTACTTTTAATAGTAAGTTCAAAATTTTAAAACTTTTTCTGTAAAAAACCAAAAATGTATTAGTAAAAACAATAGCTAATATTTATTTATTTCTCATAATAGACTATCTTTGCTAGCTATAATACTTTCATTTAATAATATATTGTGTTTAATTTTTATGTATGGACAAATTAACAGGATTTTTTTAAATATTCAATAAAAAGGTTATAATATGTCAGTGTAAAATGCATTACCTATATATTAGGTACATCATAATAAAATGGATTATTTTTATACAATTCAAATTGCATGTTTCAGACGAAAATATTATGTTATGTGTATTTGTAATAAA